AGTATAGTGTCTACCATACATCAATTAGCCACTAGACATCAACTCCGGACCTTTATCTAGCTCTAGAAGATGATCAGGGAGGCAGGGAACACTAGTATTATGTGAGTCACAAAATTCTAATATAAGAGAGAAGCTTTAAAATATTTTTGGCCATGATCTACAGGAATAAATATTTTGTATTGTGAGCCTATAGAGTATACACACAACACTAAAAAAATGTTTTACAGTAATTACCCTTACTTGGTACACTTCACTCTGATGTTTTCTATTCTATCCTATTCTAGTTTCCCTCTTTTTTATAATACTGAGTATGACTTACAATTGCTTCTGAAAGTGAAGAAGGAAAGAGAATAAGTGAAGGGGTTAGGGACAGAGAGTGGGGAGTGGTGATGGAGGACTTTGCCTCACAAGAGATATTTGGCAATGTCTAGAAATATTTTGGGTTGTCGTAACTGGCAATGAGGAGGCTACTTTCATCTAATAGGTAGGGGCCAAAGGTGCTGCTAAACATCTTAACACAAGACGGTCCCATAAAACACTTATTCAGCTGCAAATGCAAACAGTGCTGAGACTGAGAAACCTGCTCTAGATTATTTAATAAGGAAATCATAGATAAAATTATAAAGCCAATAGTTCTTTTTAAAGCTTATAAAAATATATTTTAAACTTTGGGAGAGATGTCCAACATTTAAACAGAGACACTATGACCTTAGCAATCGAAGACTTATCTCCTTCCATAACATAAAGGTAAAAAAAGAAAAAAATTGTAATTTTCTAACCCAATACAATATATGGGGAACAAATCAATATAGCATGTGAAAAGCAAACTATACCATAATAAGTGAAGAAATTAGTATTACAAAACATACGAATCACACAAATCAGTGATGACCAATGCTGCTCTCTTCTGAAATTCTATAGTACCTATAGTATGATGGGATTATATTGCTATTTATTTTAGACTCTCAATTTCTTGAGAGTAAAAACAATGTCTTATTCATCTCCATATTTTCCTCTAGTTCCAATCTAACAGCTTGCAAAAAATAGGCACTAAACGAGTATTGGCAGAAAAAGGAGTAAATATGTGTCTGGTATTTAGTGAGACATTGGATTACGTGTCAAAATTATATCGGACCAAGTTAAAAAGTATTTTCTTAGCCTGGAAATACAAGCCTAGTTCAGCATGAAGCAGATCCTAGAAGAGGTAAAACCAACACAGGTGAATTTTATTATTTAATGATCAGAAAAGATCCTGATATGTAGTAGAAGCTATAATATGACATATAACATGACATATAAGGGCCTACAAAGAATCCTGCAATGATAATGTTGCCTGGTGCTATTAACACTTTAGATTACTTGATCCAAACCTGCAATGAAAAGGGACAGGAAAGTAAAGACAGTGAGAAAGATGACTCAGTTATAAAACACACTCTTTGGAGTTATTTAGCTAGGGATGACTACTTGTTAAAAGTTGGCTGATTCTCATAAGAATGATGTATCCACATATAAATACACAGGAAAAAATGCCACTAATAAATTTTCTGGAATTATTAGAAAGAATTTTCGAACAATTAATTACCAAGGATGGCTATGTATCACGATGTTAGGTATCTTTAAAAGTAGCTTATTCCCAAATCAGACTAACACTTTTCCCACAAATAATAAAAAATACTATCCTAATGATGAAAAGTCAAGATATGACACAATTTAATCTCTTCCCCATATTATTCCAGTCTCTGAACAGCTACTTCTTCTCATTGAATTAGGACTAATATCCCTCCCTATTAGGGATAATATCAAATAGGAAAAGGTTATTTTATTTAGGTTTCTTCCTCCAGAGATAAATTAAAATACGATTGTCCACTGGAAATAGTGTTGGCAAAAACCATACTCTGTGAAACAAATTAATTGATAGATGAGGAGGCTCATTTCTAAGAATATCTACTAATAGCTCAAGTTAGGGGAAAATACAGATGTGAGTGACCTGTACTTTCTTTCCATATTTGATAAATATTTTAGTTCTGCTAAAGAGTATTGAAAAGATTTTAATTTAGCCCATATATAGCTTTTTTATTTATGTGAGATTTTTATACATGTTTACTTCAAAATCTTGAAACAAAGTATAAGCCCTTAGAAGGATACCACATATAAAAAGCTTTCAAGTATTAGACTGATGCACATCTGGTTTGGAGGTAGTGGAGGTTACATCTTTATGTGGAAAAAGTGAAGGCCATTACTTTAGCAAAGAATAATAAAAGTATATAACAGAGTCTAAATCAAACCACTAAGAATAACAAAACTATCTTTTTCTTATCTTGTAGTATCGGAATACACTCAGGAAGTATCAAAACTGAGCAAACTGAAGATTATTAAATATAGTTAAGAAAGTATAGCATCTGGGAAATATCTATATGCTCTATGATATAATTAAGATCTACAGTTTCTCTTTATAGATCATTATATTTTAGTAAATACAATTTTCTTATTATTTGTAACTTAAGTGCAACTTGTATGAAATGAAGCTAACTTGACTTTTTCCCCCACTGTTAGCTGCATTTTCCCCAAGCCCATTTGTTGAATAATAATTTATCTCTACCCCTTGGTTTGTGGTCATTTCTGTTTTTGTCCTTTGTTCGTTTCTACATGTCACTTTGGGAAAGAATTATTTTGAGCTGAAAGCAACTGAGATGATGCAGATACAAGAAAATTTCTGCCCTCCTTGTTTGCCTAAAAGCTGGACATACATTGGCAAAGGTGACCCCTCCCCTCTCTATCAGGATGGACAGAAGTTAACCACTGGAGAGAACTCTGGACTCTTATAAGCACCAAAGGAACATATGTAACAAACCATGCTAAAACTAGCCCTTTTCTTCCATTAGTTTCCACAATCCGTCACCCCTAGAAGCTCAGAGACCTTTTCCTTTGTCTTGTCGTCTCTCTAAAAATATATTGTTCTTTTGTTAAGATGCTATGCCCAAATTCTAACCATCCCTGTGAGTTTCTTACAGCTGAGTGCTCCCATATGTATGCACAATGTACATAATAAGAAATTTGTTTTTCCCTTGTTAATCTTTCTTTTGTCAAATTTACAGGGCCCCAGCCAATGAACCTAAGACACGTCAAAGAAAAAAAGAGTTAAAGTTTTCCTCCTCTATATCTTCTAGATTAACTTTAGATTTAGAAATCGGATGAACCAATTGGGATTATGACTACGTTATTAACTCTGAGATGATTTAAAAGGAACACATATCCTTATGGTATTTAGCCTTCCCAATTCGGAACATGAAATGAATCTCTACTCACAATTTCCTCTGTGTTACTCAGGAGAGTTTTGTAGCTTTCTTCACGTAGGCCTTCCTCATTTTTATTAATTATTTTTAAATCACATTTTCTGGTTTCTGGTTTCTGCTTTTCATTTCTGTTTCCTAACAAATTACTTTTTTATACAGTATAAAATGATCTAATATTAATTTCACTCTAGCTGCCTTCTTGAATTCCTTTACTGATTTCCATTAATTCTTAAGAACAAAAAATCAATTATTCCTCAAATAGTGTCAGAAAATTGAAGGGGGTGTGGTACAAAAGATTTATGTTAGATACTCACCTACCTGGAGTATTTTGGCATACACCAAAAAAATTAAAAAATCACAGAAAGATTAAGAAGTTAAAGTTTAAAAAAATAAATAGTAAAAACATGAGAAAATATAAAGTTAAATATTTAACTGATTTGGGGATGAATAAAGAGTTTCTGAAGATAAAAGGAATCGAAAATATGTCACCAAAGATGCAAAGACTTAGCTATATTAAATTCAGTATTTCCAAATGACCAAAGAAAATTTGTTCATAACATAAAGATAAAAAACATCAAAATGGGAAATATATTTGAAACAGAAGACAGTTAAATGGGTAAAATCATAACCACATGAAAATCAATAAGACAAAAACTAATTAATACCCAATATGAACATAGGCAGAAGAAATAAATGGAATAAATAATTCAGAGAAGATACCAAATACTCGTAAACATATAAAAAATTCAGCTTCACAACCAAATTCAAATTAAAATGACAAAGAGATAGCATTTTTTGTGGTTTATTCAACTGCCAAATTTTGGGGGCATCTGGCCTTGAAAGCTCAAGCATATCTGCTTCATGAAAGTATATGAAAGGAATATGGAGTGTTATAGCATTTTGGGAAAGCAGGTGGGTAATCCAAGTTAAAAGCTTTTAAAAAAATTTAAAAAAAAGCACAAATATGTATTTGTGAAATAATCAAAGATATATGCAAAAAAATTATGTATAAAGATAACCATTATAGTATTATTTATACTAACAATTAGAAGCAACTGCGATGCCCCAAATAAAGAAGTAGTTTGTGGTATATCCTTATGATAGTGCAGCCATTTAAAATGTATTTCTGAAGATCATCTAATGGTTTGAAAAAAGCTAATGATATCAATTCAAAAAACCAGAACACAAAATTACATATAGTATGATATCAATTTTACAAATATGTAAAATATACATGCATAGGAAACGGGGAAGAAAATAGAACAAAATGTTAATGATGGTTATATTTTGGGAAAAATATTAAGGATAGCTTATATTTCATTCTTTATACTTTGAAGAATTTTTCAGCTGCTTTATAGTAAACATATTGTTACTTTTAAAAAAACACAAAAAATCTTATTTTTACAACTATAGTTAATAGGTTTTTTAAATATGCCATCAAGTGGTGCAATAAAATGTTTAGAAACAAAGCGAAAAACAATTTAAAAAATGAACAGACTTACAGAGGAAATTCACTTTTTATAACTTAAAATTTTCTTCACATAACCAACACCATTACAAGACTTTTAAAATAAAATAAATAGAAAAAATAGAAAAAAAAACTTCCAATATGTAACTTTTAAATGTTTACTCAGAAATACAATCTAAAAAGAAAACTCTTATCTAATCAATTACAGAGAATTGTGTGATTAAAATAGAGTAGCTTACCTTTTTCACTGACACTCTCACTTTCAATCTCAACATCCTCACAACTTGTATATTCAGGTGTGGAAGCCAATTCCTCCTCTGAACTGCTCAGTGAAACCTGGCGCATTTTACCACCTTTCTTTGACTTATGAGGCTTCGGTGGTGGAGGTCTCACTGACTCTGACTGGTCAGAACTGAGAGAATCATTCCTTAACATCGTTTCCATTTTTTCCCTTTTTGTTTTCCTCACAGCAGAGCTAGGATCTAAGTGGTGTTGTTTCCTTAGTGAGTCAGTACGTCTCATGTCTTGTCTATCAATGGGTATTGGACTCCTCCGGGGGGTGGGAGGACTATGGTTTGTGGTCCTTTGTGGATAAGAAGTTGGTCCCTGAGCCTCTCGAGTTCTTTCCATTGAATAAGATCGCTGATTTTCCATGGCAGCTCTACGTTCAGATATAGACCTTTGCCTGGATGGTCGTTCCATCCTTAGCATAGAAATCCTGGAATCATCCAGTTCAGCATTTGCCAAAGAAACATCACTATGCCTTCTTTCATGCCGTGCTCTGGACACTTCAGCATGAATACGCATTTGCTCTTCATATGGCTGTGGCTTTACTGGATAACGGGCCAAGTTCGGATCACTTCGATAACGTGACTGGTATTCCTCCTCTCTCCTTTGTCTTTCATATTCATCTCTACTCTCCACATCTTCATCATCTACAATATATTCCTTGGAATGCCTATGACTTCTCCTGTTGGAGTCCCTATAATTCATACGGTCAGACTCTTCATAAAACTGAGGTTCGCGCTGAGACCTCCTATCAGCATAATCTGATGGAGATCTAGGCATTGCACTATCTGAAGTAGCATACTGTGAATATTCCTCTCTTTCTTCTCTTTGGTCGTATCTCCTATTCTGATCTCTGGACACTGATGGACTTCTTTTCCTAAATAACCAAAGAAAGATAATGATGAGAAGAGAAACATTTAAATAATTTTACATTTTATTAATTCACTATTGGATAAACTCAAATAGTTCTTTTGTTCTTTTCTTTCAATTTCATTTTAAATTTATGCCACGACTAAAGTTTTACTTATATTCATTTTATTCAGTTCAAATAGAAAATTTTAAAGGTATTTTTGATGTAGTTATTAAATGTCTGATACATTGTATATGAAATGTACTTATGTCCTAAATTAGATAACCATCATACTCTGTTGCTGCAAAATACTTTATTCTAATTTCCTTGCTTAGCTCAATACATTTCAGATATCTCCGAACTGTTACTCAGAAGCTTAAAAAAATTCCACCTTCTATTCTCTCTATTCCTGACAGCTTGGTATGAAACTTACTTGAAAACATAATGAAGCCAAACTGACTTGGCTCAAGAATTGAATGCTTTCTGACTAAAACTAAGTGATGGCTCTTAAAAATCATTTTTCATTCATCCATCTATGTAGATCATTCCTAGTATTCCTAGTATCTAAATCTTCACCTTATCATTATATCTCTTTATTGCTTAACTTGAGATACGGAACTTAAATAAATACCAGCAATAATGATTTATGCATCATAAAATCTCTAGAAGTTAGAAAGGACTGCTGGTTCTTATTCCATCATCAAGGTTAAGGCAAATTTGATGACACTTCTCTGCACATCTGACACCTCATATTTCCTTACAGTGTCAGAGGAAGATACTGTCTATTGTTTTCAACCTGTCCCTCTAACACTGGTACAGCCTGGCGGACCTCACAATTACACTTAGTATTAATACTCTTTGTCAACAAAATATTCACATTGCTTTCTTCTCTGGCACGAACTCAGATAATGTCAACCACTAGCCATAAGAAGCAATGAAACTGGAATCCTGGAGATGACAGAAAACGTTTAGAATAAATGTTATGAGGATTTTGTCAGAACATATGAACAGGAGATAATAAAATAGTGGAATCAGTTGAATTAAAAGAGGATCAACATTTGACAGCTCAGTTGTGAATTTCTTAGACAATATTTTTTTGGTTGCAAAAGCAAGAGTAGAGAAAGAATACATGTGGAATGATGCATTCCAGCAACATCATCACTGTCCTCTAAAGTCTCCTCTGTGTCCCCAAATCCCTTTTCACCCATATCTGTAATACAGTCTTCCAATGTAGGATTCATTAAGGAAAATAGAAATCACTCTAGATTTTCCAGGTAGGAAGGTTTTTAATTCAGGAATCGGAAGCTACACAACTGTTGAACAAGCTAGAGGAATAAAGGTCAGAGATGTTAATACTGCTGTTCTGCACCTGAAAAATAAAGGCAGGGGTTGTCATTAGTAAGTGGCTGTGAATCTCAAGAGTCTGGGAATTTGCCATCAATTATCTCAGCTGCCTACTGTTAGGGTGGTCAATTAATAGGAGTTTGTCCAGATCCACTAAGACTTTGACTTTTGCCCACCTGCCTGCCAACAATTGCTGCTTGACAATAATGGCTTCTATGTCTCTTCCACCTTTCAGATCTCACAAATGCATCACCAGGTTTGACTCTAACCTGGAACCATAAAGGGAAAGTACTATAGTCAATACCCCCCTAAATGTTTTAAGATTAAGCAAGTGGGTGTGATTTTTTTTTTTTTACATTTACATTCTTACATTTATACATAAATATAAAATATTTAAGGCTTAATTACAAAGCTTTTAGGTTACAAGTGTTACATAAAACCAGACTCCTACAGTTTAAAATATATAATCAAAACAGACCATTAGAAATAATTTTTATGGTGTTAATCTACATAACAACCAAATATGTGTTTATGCATAATTCATTTTACTTTTTGTCATTATTTTTATACAAAAATGACTAAAGAAAAAAACACAGCAATGGTAGCAATGTATCACGAAAAGAACACTAGAGTTGAGGAATATGGGTTTCTTAGTCCTGTTTTAGCCATTAACCAGTTATTTGAACCTATATAGCCATTTATGCTTTGACAGTCTGTGTTTTAAAGTGAGAGACATAGATTATAAATATCAACTCACATATAATTTTAACAAATATCTAATCAATAAGAACTAAATGCTACACACTATAATATAAGCTGGGAATAGAAAAATCAGTAAAAGACCCTTGATTTTAAGATGCTAAATGACTCTAAAATCCTCTTCCATTTCTTAGGGTCTATGATCTTATAATATTCATACCACAACTTCGTCAAGTTAATATGCCAAAATGAAAGCTTAAAGCATAGCAAGAAATAATAAGGATATTCCAGTCATGGTGCCAATTTTGAACATGTTCACATTTATTTAACTGGCTACTTATATTTATTTACTTTACTGAAATACTGAGATAAGAGAGAATTTCTCCAAGGAACTCTAAAGAATCAGTTCCTTCTTAAAATGACCATCTAACCTCCATTAGATGCAGACTTTATGTTAGGAATTCAAATACATTTTGGTATGTTAAAAATGATATAATTTTTGCAATCTATGTTAATAAACATATTTGTCTCTAAGAACATAAGGTATTCATAAACTTAATTTAATATCAAGAAATTGACACTCTTCCAAGAGTAAAATTTTAGTGTTTCTAAGATTTATAGGGTACATAAGAAAATAATTTCTTAAATTTCATTTAGAGATTGTGTAATTTAATTCTAATTTCCATAAAATTCAACATAGGAAATTATATAGCTATATATGTATATGATTTTTGAAGACATAAAAATGGAAGTAAAATGTGATTTTTTAAATGAAAACAATATTACCACTTCACCATGGACTATTAAGATCAGTTCATCAGCTAAATTTCACTTTTGTGCCTCTGTATTTCCTCAACATAACACTACTCGCCCTATTTACAATCATCTACTTAGTGTCCTGTACTGTCCACCAGACTTTAAATTTCTTAACCGGAAAGGACTGTGTTTAACATACATTTGTAGCTCTATTATTCAGTCATTTATTAAACAAATATTTATTTCGGGCTTACTCTGTGCCAGGTATGATTCTAGTTGTTGGGAACACAACAGAAAAGACATATAGTGTCCCTTCTCTAAAGAAGTTTTCTTTCTAGTAGGGGAGACAATAAGCATATAAACAAATAAATTAAGGCTATTTCTTATAGTGATCAATACTATGAAAAAATTTGAAATAGTGAAAATTACAAATAGTGACGAAGGGAGCCTACTTTCTACATAAAAGGTATTTCTGAAAAGATACATTTGAACTAAGACTTGAATAGGTAATTACGCTGAGTATAGCCCATTTATATAAAATATACTTCATTGGAAATGTTTTGTGTTTCTCGTTAAGTTGCTATTATTTTCTTTTTTTAAATATTTTACTCCAAGCTGTCTTAGAAAATATAAATCTACTTAATTCTTAATTGTTATTTTATTAAATCGAGGATTTTCAAAGATAGTTGATCTCTAGAGCCCACCTGAAGGCAGCCCAATAAGCCTTTTTCACATACCCCTCCTTTTCAAAATATTTCATGCTCCCAAGCTAAGTAAATTCCAATTCCCCATTATACCTGCTCTCAGTTGAAAGTCAAAAGTGAAACGAGCAGATTATTAATACAAATTAATATCTAAAATGTGAAAAAACATGACCACACAAGAGAGTGAAGTAAAAAATTTCAGAAAATGTTAAGGAGGAAATTGGATATTTTGAAGGCAATTTAATATAATGGTGTCCCTATTCCTCACTGTACTTCTTCCCCTAGGTAATCTTATCCATTTCCATCCAGGAATATCTATAATATGTTAAATTTCATAAGGACTAGCAACCTGGATCTAAGGAGGCTGGCACATAACAGGTACTCAATAAACATCTGTTGAATTAAAGAATTGCTTAATTAATTCTCCCTTAAATGTTCTCTACTTTTTATGGCTTGTTTCTTTTTTCTGTACTGAATTAAACCCACTGATTTGCTAAAACAACCTTGTTCTTTTCTTTCCCCTACTGCTCCCATGGCAGCAACGGCAACTCAGGTGAAAGGAACTATTTTACAAGTTGTGTAATTTAGCTCTATTATATGTTAATTTGGCCTTTGTTGTTAGGCTTCAGAAACCATTTATTATTTATAAAATGACTTCTTCATCAAAATGTGTTTTGAGTATCAATCACCTCACAACTAAACATTTAGAATAAAACTTCTTTGTAAATCAGGGATTTCTAATATATTTAACATCACGTTGGGTATTATAGGACGGAAATAGAAAAACTATTTTTAAAGGGAATACTTCATTCCCTGAGAGACTAACATGAATTTTTGAAAGTAAGAAAAGTATAAATAAAATGAATATAGTGAGTCTTTATAACACAAAGAATATTCTATTTTACTAATAAATAAAAATATTTACTTATAGAATTCAGTTCTAGAAGAAAGGCTATTAATAATTAGTCCTTAGCAAGCTATATAAGTGCTTTTTAAAAATCATACCTTCAATTAATTGAATTCAATATTAAATCCAGCAATCACTTTGTTCTAGAGATTATGAAATTTGCCTGAAGCATGTGAATCATACTGTAGATGCTGATTTGTGTTGGATTTAAGTAAAAATAGAACAGTGGTCATGATTTCTGAAATTGGGATAAATAGTGTCACTGTTACTTAACATGGAATTAAGTTTTTAAAAATAGACTTTAAGGTTATAGTACCTTACACTATCTTAAAGCTATGCTACAAGGCAAAATTTTATTCTAAGAATATGCTTACCAAACAATGAAGAATTTAATATCAGTTTCTCCAAATATTAAAATATTCTGTCAAAACAATTTTAACAATTGTATTGTGAATTATTGCATTATATACTCTCCTTTGAATTAAAACTATTGTATTTCTTAGACATTATATTTTTTTCAGAACCTGATTAAAATCCAAGTACTATATCTCTAATCTCCATCTTTGCTACTGGCCTTTATAAGCAAGCCTTAGCATTTATTAGTATTAGGTGGAAAA